TTCTGAAAGCTGTCAGTAGGAGAAGTCTCACAGGGTGTAGCAAATGGTAGTGTGCTCTATTCAACCCATCACTGCTGAGACCATGAGTAGGGCTTCCAGTCTGTGATGAGTTCAGCTTCAGGATTCTTAAATCCTGGGGTGTGGGATTGGAGAAGTTTCTTCTATGACTGCCATTGGTAGTCTCTCCTAGTAGGAGAGTGAAGAAGTTAGAGTCAGAAGATATCTAATTAACCTTGAATGCCTCTATTAATCTTTTCAGTAGATTATAAAGAATATCATTAGGGGAAAGTGTACTTCCTCAGATTCAGTAAAAAGGGCATTCAATAGATCAAAATGCTGCCTCTTCCTGACCACAATAATGTGTCCTCACAGGAGCCGTGGTGGTTTGTGATCTACCAGCTGCAGGCTGGGGTGTAATATTTTCTGACCTGACATTTGGAGAACCTTTGAATATTTAAGGGCACTCATCTTCCCTCTCAGTTATCTCTTCTTTTGAGGGCCATAAAAACCTTGAGAAAAGACAAGCTTCTTTTTCATATTTTCTTCATTGAATGCAATATCTCATTTTGTTTTTTAGCCCTTCTAATGAATTTAGACTATCATCTTATACTCATTAGACTGGCAAATCAACTTTTCCAAAAGGCTGACTATATGTAAAATATTCACAGGCAACTAAGTTGTTAACTATATGTTTCATGTTTATTTAATATAACTTAGGGATTGAATATGCAAGTGGTGGAGTTGGTCAACCTGGGTTCAGAAACGTAAGCTATCATACCATCTTTGAACTCAGGTTGTTCTATCATATTGCCTCTTAAAATCTCAAAGTCCTACAAATTTTCTTATTTATTTTGGAAATTTCTTGACTGTTGATATTATTACTTTCATGTACACAAATAGTTAAGAAGATAAGTACTTTCAAAACTAAGTACATTTTAATAATTTGTCGAACAGTAATTTTGTTCCATTTTCTTGCAATAAAATGCTGTATAATCTTGGGCAAGAAATTTATCTTCAGGAATGTTTTCTTTTTTCTTTAAAACAACTTTTAAATTGAGGTTCAGCAAACGTAAAGTGTATTAATCACCAGTGTGTAGCTTGGTGAATTGTTTTATGCATTCATGTAATCACATTAATTATTGTTGCATTTTATTCTCAGAAAATACATACACATTAGACTTTAACTGGCTGGTAGAATTTCAATATGTGAAGCACACAAGGAGCGTTTCACTCGAGTTGCATCTAGAATATTCAATTATATTTGAAAGTAAATATTCAGATACTGACAAAAATCCTCATGACGAACTTTGTTTGTATGACACACATTGTTCCATTGATTCTATATGATGTTAGCCTACCCATTCGTTACGATGTTAACCTTGGTCTCTTGATTAAGTATACTACAAACTCTGACCAAACATTTCATTTCATACTTGTGTGTTCCACTGTTCAAATATGTAATCTACAGGGCCTTAAATGCTACTACAAAGCCATTATCATATCAAATGTTTGTAAATGTTATTGAATCATGTGGCAGCCCCAAAGTAGTTCAGAACCTATCGTGGTTCTGGGGGTTGCCCTATTCACAGATTGTTGTTTGCTCAATTAAACTGTTAAATTTAATTTGTTTAAAGTTGGTTTTTTTTTTTAGATGGAGTTTCACTTTTGTTGCCCAGGCTGGAGTGAAATGGCGCAATCTTGGCTTTCTGCAACCTCTGCTTCCCTGGTTCAAGTGATTCTATCTCAGCTTCCTGAGTAGCTGGGATTACAGGTGCGCCACCATGCCCGACTAATTTTGTATTTTTAGTAGAGATGGAGCTTCACAATGTTGGCCAAGCTGCTCTTGAACTCCTGACCTCAGGTGATCCACCTGCCTCAGCCTCCCAAAGTGCTGGGATTACAGGCATGAGTCACCATGCCTGTCCTTTTTATTTAAAAAAAAAAAATAGGAATAGAAACATCTCACTCTTGCCTGGAGGATCCAAGTCACTTAAACACAGGGCAGTGGCCTTTATTGCCAACGCAGGTGTTTGGCAGATAAGGTGTTTGATTGCAGTATTTCACATTCATCTTAACTTTGTAGTTTCTAAGAAAACAGAACCCTTGGTTCTCTTCGCAGTCCAGACTTGATGTTGACTCCTTTGAGTTTATAAAAATTTTACTCAGATAAATTTTTCTTAACTCTACCCTTCCCCAAAACCTATTTTAAAATCTATTTTTTTCTCTCATTTGATGAGACATCTTTCTGCTGTATGGTCTTTGCAAAGATTGATGAAACTGCTCTGTTGGATTACATATCTAAGTTAATTAGCCTAGGACTTTAGGTTTTATTAGTTATGGTTTTAAAAATAAGGAACCTGAGGATCAAGAAGATTAAATGAAGTATTGAAGATGTCATGGTAATATGTGGCCACAGAATGCAAACTGAGATCTGAAGTGTAATAAAGCACGATCCTTTTCCACAGTGCGACTCTGACCCTCCACTGTTTGCCTCATCCAGCTGATTACTGCATTACCTTTATTTAACAACCACACCTACTGTGAAGCCACAAAATCCACTCTGACCACTTTGCTCTTTCTCATCACAGTTAGTGTCCAGTTTGGACAGAAGCCTCTGTTCCTCAAAGTATGGTTTCAGTTTTGCAATGCTCCTTTCTGCCAGGATCCCTAATGAACCATCCAACCAACCAACACTTAGTTCTGAGTCCTTTTCTTCCTCAGCCACACCAATCAGCAAATATTTCTAATAACACACTCTGGGTCTTCACACATTCATACCTGTCCTTGTGCTGTTTCCTGACCTTGCAGTTCCTTGCCTCAAATTCTCTGCTTATACAAATCTTTTTTTCTTTTTAAATATCACATCAAAGTTCCCTGTTGCAAACAAACAAATAAAAACCACATGCTAGTCTGTTTCATTAGACAAGTAATTTATAAAGGATATTAGGCATTTCACAGAAACTTTTTTTTTTTAACTTAAAGGCTACTTTGCAGGACTGGTCCAGTGTAGACAGCACTCCTGCTGCCTGGAAGCAAATGACACAGTTTTCACCTCTGACACTAGAAGGTGCTAGACCATTTCCTGTTGCTGTATTGGAAGTTTGGTATCTCTGCTACCACCCTCATCAGGACTAACCAGATTGGTGCTTCATCTACATTATGAGCCTTAAGGGGAAGTCTTGCATGGGTACATCTGACTGGCAGAGCCTAGGTCACATGCCCACTGTGCAGCTGCAAGGGAAGCTGGGAAAAGAGGTTTGTGTTTAGATTTTAAGGAGATATACACTTCTAAAGTGGGAAAGTCCTCTAAACAGGAAAGGCATTCAAATAGCAGAGATGCCAAGTAAGAATGATAAGTGTTCATTACACTGTGGTTAAGTTAAAAAAATCTGACCTGGACAGTCTCTAAAATAGCAAGACTTAAGAGTTCTTTGTGTTGTCCCTCAGGTGTTCACCTTTCTGCCAAGTTAAATTGTAACAGATGTGATTCATACTTCTCCCATATCTCGTCTTTATTTCAGTTCATGATTTCCAACTGCCATGACAGTACTTTTTCTTTCTTGCCTGAGGGCTTTTTCTGGCCATTTAGCTTCATTACATTTAGGTTGAAAGTGTGGGGGATTGACACAGGCGGGGAGCCGCCCTCAACCAAGGACTAGCAGATGGTGGATAAATACCTCAGCCTCTTTGCCACTAGGGTGGGTTAGCCCTGAAGCACGTGTTTAGCTGTAGCCCCCAGCATTTCCCCAGTGGAATAAGCTCAGATACCTACAGTGGCAACTGGCTTGATAACTCCTATATTGGCTCTCTTCCCTTCCTGTCTCACTCCCCTGTCACTGTCTCCTTCACTTCTCAACTACTTCCACTTGAACTTTTGTTCCAGAGTCAGCATCTGGCTAAACCCTGAGTAAGACAACTCTCTTCTTTTATCTCTTCCCCTTTTTTTTGAGACAGAGTCTGTGTTACCCAGACTGGAGTGCAATGGTGCAATCTCAGCTCACTGCAACCTCCACCTCCTGGGTTCAAGCAATCCTCCTGCCTCAGCCACCCAAGTAGCTGAGACTACCGATGCATGCCACCACGTCTGGCTAATTTTAGTACTTTTAGTAGACGCAGAGTTTCACCATGTTGGCCAGACTGGTCTCGAACTGCTGACCTCAAGTGATCTGCCTACCTCCACCTCCCAAAGTGTTGGAATTACAGGCGTGAACCACCGCACCCGGCCTTTTCCCTGTTTCTTAATGAAAAATAATTGCCATTTTTCCCTGTCTCACACAACACATAGGACAGGTCCTTTTATATAATAAGCACTAAAGAAATATTTGTTTCAGTTTGTTGAAGTAAAATAGGGGTGATAGATTTTAAGTTTACATCACTGTATAGCCAAAAATTTTACTCTTTCTAGAAGTCACGTTAGGGATGGAGCTGACCTGCCTCAGAAAACCCACTCTGCACAGGCTGACTCCACCCCTGCCGACTGCTCTGCAGCTGCACTCCTGAACCCCTACCTAGGCGCCGCACCAAAGCTGCCAGACGTGGCAATTAAGCAAAGCCTGATTACAGCCATTCAGACAGCTCAAGGGAGGACAGGGAAAACATATGTTCATTATCCATACTCGTAAATTCCTGTTTGACACATATCTATAAAAAATCCTGATTTCGGTCTTTTTTTAAAGATTGCTGCCACGAAAGTCACAGGATGATGTATTGTAGGTCAGTTGCAAGCTAACAAACTATCTCTGTGCCTGTTGCCTGAAACCCCCTTTTGCCTCCCTCACCCCATATAAACCACTCGTTTTGTAAGCTCAGAGCTCCTGCTGCCTCCTCTAAGCAGCCTGGCAGGTTAATACACTTTCATGCCTGACTCTGGGTCTGTTCTCCTTTCTCTCGGCTACCCTTACAAGTCATATGTATGATTAGTAGTGGTTATTCTTTGTGATAGCCACTAGAGTTATCTCGTTGAATTTTCTAACCTTTGTCCAGGTATTTTTCCCTCCTGTGGTTTTCTTTTTAATTATCTTAAGTCTTATGGTCACATATAATTTTAAAATATGTGTATATCTCCTCTACTTTAATCCTTTTAAGTTGGCAAAAGCACCATTCCCAATCACAAATACACAGTAGTTCTATAATTTTATATTTCTGAATGGCTATTTAAAGACAATCCTAAATTATAACTCAGTTTGACTTAGATTATAAGGAATTCAAGAGTGAAGTTTAACTCACTACTATTTTAAAACATATGACCTTATAGATCACTTATAAATGTGAGAAGTATTAAGTAATCTTTGATATTACACATAAACCACACTAAAATGCCTTTCAATAAGTAAAAGGAACCCATTTTAAATATAGGGAATTCTAATCAGATTGGCATAGTTAAGGCCAAAAATATAAAGTAGACATTGCTACCTTGTTTATCTTCAACCCTTGCCTTTGAGAGGCAAATGAACACAAAGCACAGGTGAATCTTGCTTGGTTCTGAGACAGTGAAGGAATTTCCTCAGTATTTAAATATATTCACACAATCAGTTACATAATCTAAATATGAAACCAATCTTCAGTAAGTTTGAAGATGGCACTCACCATCTTTGTGAAAAACTGAACATTACTAAGGAAGTCTAATCATATCTTTAGAAGGGATAAACAGTGATAGCATTTACTGAATTGTAATTACTATTAAAATTCAAAAACTAAACATATTCATTTAACCATAAGCCAGTCTTAGTTTTAAATCAGGACTGCCCAACAAAATATTCTGTCAGTCATTCATGATCTGAATTCTGGTGTATGAGATCTATTAAAGACATAAAAAAGTCATGAGAGATTTGTTTTGTGATAAATAAGGCCATGGTCAAATTACTCATTAGTAGCTTTTTTGAGATAAGCTATCAAGTCTGCCCTTTCTGTCTTCTTCTTAATGCTGGCAAAGATCATTTTTGTTCCAGGGATGTACTTCTTGGGATTCTACAAATACTCTGTCAGTGTATCCTTCCCCTAGTTGATGCCTTTATTCTCACTGGCGTCAGTGTAAGAGAATCCAACAGCCTGACCTGTCATCCACCCAAAGAGACCATGGAGATGAGGCCCAGCCTTGCGCTTGCCTCCCTTTTCCACGATGTGACACTGGGCACACTTCTAAACAGATTTCTTCTTGCCTTTCTCAACATCACCCATATTTAATTCTCTTAGTCGCTGCTGGTGCTCTGAAACTGGACGTCCCACCTCTCCAGGTGTTTTTATTGCTTTTGAAAATGTCAGCTATCCAGGAAGGCTGTGGCACATTGTACCATTGTACTGAATGATCTCGTTACTCTGAGCCCTTCAGGGGGGAATGGCCTGCCAAGATCACAGTCTTTGTGCAAAATGCCTCATGAGAAATGATGGAAACAGCCAAAGGGATTTGACTGACCCTGCAGTGACTCCTTAACCCTGGAGCATCAGCCTGAATCCATGCCTGAGCAGAGTAATTCCTTATCCCAGCTGCTTTCCTTGTCCCACAGGATGGGCTCCTGACACTGAGAAATAGCTCCCAGATCAGTGGTCTTTCAGTTGTTTCATTCTTGAGTTTTTTGGTTTTGAATATGGGCCCAAGGGTCTTTGGCCAGTGGGTATCATTCCAATGGTTCTGATGGGTAATGACAAATAAAACAAATGGTGGGTATTATGTAACAGCTGACTGGCTCTGAATGGTTTTGGCTATGGTTCTGGAAAAGAATGCAGGAGGGATGTGGTCAACATACAGGAATGAAATTGGAATGAAGCCATTCTGCAGTCCTTTGGATATCAGTCTTTCAGTAGGAGGTTAAGTAGGACAGCACTGGGACCAATTCAGTGCCCCTCCCCTAGCCTCCCTGCCTCTATGGCAATGCTGAAGAAACCCTTAGACTTTCTTGCTTCTTTCTTGCAGGACCTCTGCTCATCCCTATCCATTGACACCCATGGTCTCCATGGCGTTATCTTCCTTGAGATTCTCTGGGATAATCTTACTGTGGCCTTCAGCTCTGTGTAAGTCAATTACCACTAGAAGCCTGGTCATTCCTCACCCCGCAGATGCTCCTTTCTAAAAGATGTGTATATCTGCTTTATTGACACCGTCTCTTCCTCAGCAGCCCTCAAAACTCTTCTGGAATTCAATACGTAGACACAAAACCCTCTACTTTCTAAAATATCTATTTCATGTCCTTGTTCTAACTGGCTTCTCCCTCAGGACACTGCTCCCCTGCAGCCCTCTATACAGGCACTGATTTCTCAGCCACATGCCTGGCATCACAGGACCTGGAGTAGGATGAGTGTCCTCCTTGCTTCTTAGTGCTGCTCCCAAGTCATTGTCCCACATCCTCCATAAAAACACCCAGTTTGAACATGGGACTGTGTTGTCTGCCATCTTCCTTCCTTTTGGCAACCGTCTATAGGCCCTAGCATCACTTCCCTTCCTTCCTGGATCACTGTCATTTTTCTATCACTACGCCAATCGTTTTTTGGTGATTTCAATATCCACCTGGGTAAGTCTTCCCATACACTGAGCTTTCAGCTTCTCAGCCTCCCCTCCTCCAACATCTCATCCTCCATTCCACCTCACTCACTCACTCCTATGTTCATGCCTTCTAGACCTCGCTTTTATCAATAATCTTACCCACTCCAGAATCTCAACTTCACGAAGCCCAATATTTGAGCACAACTTCTTATATTATTCATTTTATTTGCATCTACTTGTCTTCCTTTACCACATCATTTCCTTGTCCCCTGTGCATGAAGAATTACTATCCCAAATTTTTTGCTTTTAATCTCTTGATTTTTAAAATGAATTTATCATATATGTATGTATTCCCAGGCAGTATAGTGTTTAGTTATTTTCGAACCTCAAAAAATTGATATTATATTTAGTCTGTTGTAGTATATATTGTCTACTATATGCGTGTAGTCTGTTATAACTTGTATGTTTTACATATCATTGTGTATGCCATACACACATTATGTATACCATATATTGTATTCATGCATATCATACAGACAACATCTCCATGCTGTTGTGCATAGCTGGTTTGTTTTTACTGCTGTATAACGTTCTATGGTGTGAATTTACCAACATATATTCACTCATTTTTTTTTCTGTGTGCCATTTCCAGATTTTTGGTATCAGTAACTCTTCTTCTCTAAATAACTTGTACTTGTCTCTCGTGCATATCTGCAAAAGTTTTTCTAGAAGCACAGTTGATGGATCAAAGAGCATAAACATGTTCAATTTACATGATGATGTTACATTGTTTTCTAAAATAATTTTACATCATTTTTCATTATTCTAGGTCACTTACACTAAATTCTGATTTTAAAAAGCCTAGCTGTATCTAGAACCTATAATGATAGATTGCACTGCTTTTTCACACTTTTCATTTTCAATGTACCATGCCTATATTCCATGGTATGTCATAATATTTATTCTTTTGCATGAACCTTCAGTTTCCTTGCCTCTTCTTTCTTTATTGTGCTCACCTGGCAAAACCCTAATTCCAGTGACAACCAAATCTCTGCTGGCTCTGTGCCTTCACCCATGCAGGGAAATATGGCTGCAGGTAACTACGCAGCCTTGCTGACTGTTCTCACATTTATGGCCACAAATACCATTATCCTCTAAGTTACTTGTAAATCAGACTATACTTTCCTGGTCCATTAACTCTCCCATGCATCTATTTGGTATCTTCTCATTTCTCCTTAAACCTCTATAACATCTTGCTGCACCTTCACTGTCAGCTGATGAGCTTGTCACTGAGAAAATGAAAGCAATCAGAAAAGAACTACCTTGGCTTCCAACTTCTGTATGGACTTCCCTACCTCCATCCGTGCCCATTGTGTTTTCTATCGCTATGTGACAAATTATCCCAAAACTTAGTGGCTTAAAACAACACCAATTATTTATCTCATAGATTCTGTGTGTCAGGATCCAAGACACAGCTTAGCTGGGTCCTCGGGTTCTGTGTCTCCTGGTATCCTTTTTTTGTAGCTGAGTGCTAGTATGCTTTGACCATTAAATAGGCAAGTTATGCCCTGGCCCCCAAGGAAGGACTTATTACTAATAACTGGCTAGATGGGAAAGGCCACACATCTTCTCATCTTCCTATTGAACACACACTGGGTAAAAGAAATATCATACTATTAGTAAATTATAAAACTCTTTGTAATTAAACTATTTTTTCTTCAATTGTCTTTATAGTATTGGAACAACTAAAAAAAGACAGAAAAAAGAAAGTGGAATTCTTGCCTCAACTAAGGCCAAAATTATTTGAAGATGGATCAATGATTTAACTGTAAAAAAGTATAAAATATTTAAAAATATATAAAATAATTTTAAAAATAATCTCACAATAAGATCTCTTTTTCCAAGTAGGACACAAAACCTAGGAGTCATATAAAAAGGATTGATAAATTTGATTGCATAATAATAAAAATATCCTCAGGGTGAGAAAAATAATAAACAAAATGAAATGACAAATTACAAACCAGGACATTATTTTCAATGCATATCAAAAGCAAAGGGCATACACATAATTCTGAAAGAATTGATAAATCAATGAGTCAAAGGTCATTAACCTAATAGCAAAGTAGACGATTGAGAAGATGCTCAAATTCATGTACAATTAGGGATATGAAAATTATAACTACAATGAATACACTTACTTTGTGTTGGATACGATTTACACAAGGATAGCAGAAAAGTAGCAGAACTCCAAGAGATGACCTAAATACAAGGATATTCACTGAAGAGTCTGGCACAAAGTGACTATGGGAAAGTATTGGCTAAATAGATGCTGTTTACAATAACAACATTAGAAACAACCTCCATGTCCCCAGAGAGTTTAACCATAAAGAAAACATGGTACAGTTCAAAGAATGAGGCACTGAGAATACTGATATAGAATAATTTCCAAGATTGAAAATGGAAAAAAGCCCGCCTGGCCAACATGGTGAAATCCCGTCTCTACTGAAAATACAAAAATTAGCCAGGTGTGGTGGTGCGCATCTGTAATCCCGGGTACTCCAGAGGCTGAGGCACAAAACTCACTTGAACCTGGGAGGGAAAGAAATTGAAAAAAGCAAAATGCAGAAAAGTATGTATAGCATGCATATTAATTACATAATAGAAAAGATAGGCATACTTGTAAATGCATGGTGTATTTCTGGAAATAATCACGAGATATAAGGAGGGCTGCCTCCAGGGAGAAGAACTAAGTGGCTGGGTGATCAAAAAGGAATGTTGAATACTTTTCACTTCATACACAGCCCCCTTTTTTCTTTCAAGTGCATCTGTTATCTATTTAAATGAATGAAAACACTTAAAAGTCAAATAGCTATCATTTAAAAAGAACTAAAGAAAAATAGTATATAAGCAACAGCATGGGAAAAAACAGTATTGCTGAATTTGTTGCTACTTTATGTGTTTAAGAGGACAGGGAGGCGTGGTTTTATATGTAAAAAATCGACATTGCCTAGGGTTATACAGGATGGAAGCCAGATATTCTGAATCCACCTCTTGCTTTTGACTTGGCTGCTGGAGCCTGAGGCAAGTGAATTAAGCCAGTCAAATCTGGATAATAGTACTTAATGATCAAGCTTACCACTGCATTGTGAAAATCAATTACTTGATGTTGGTAAAACGCTTTGAAGGTGTAATGCTCCAAGTTGCAGGACCGAGCCTGTTCAGATCTGTGTGCTGTCATAGGAACTGAGCCTCTAGAGTCAAGACTTTGAAGAAACTTCCAATCACTATTCAGTTAAAGCATTGTTTTCAAAGTGTCAGTGCTCCCAAATGTGTCTTCCATGTGTGTGCCCAGAGAATCAGCCTATTTTATTCGGGTTTTCTCATTCCTGTCTTACTTTTCTACACAGTGTGAAAGGTTCGTTAAGGAAATTGTAATGCAATGATTTCCAAAAAAATAAATTCTTTTCAAAGAAGAGACGCAAGGGTTAAGATCATGGTGTGCAATTCAATAAGGAAATTACAAACCCTTCCAGAAATTATAGTGAGTCAGGGATTAATGTTGGCTTTTGAACAATATATGTTAAATTAGTCTGTAGAAATACAACAGTCTCAAAGAGAAATGTACAGTCCAAGAAAATCAGACCTGTGGAAATGAGACTGTTAGTAGATAATTCTCCACAAGGCTCTCACATTTCTGTAC